TAAAGGGGACAAAATATCATTAATATCCTCTCTTTGAAAGCATGCATGGCATTTACAATGTGAAACGGATGGCTCTCACTCTAACCTGTAAGTTCCAGAATCAGGAAATTACAATTATGTCCGCACCAATAGCCCCTAGGTCAGTGCCTAGCACGTCACTGTTGCTCACTTTTCACTTTTGCTGAATAACTAATAATAATATAGGAGGCAAAAACAGTAAGATTTTTTTTTATTAGACTTGGAAACGTAACTAGCCTAGTGAGCCTGGGCAAGTTGGAGATCTTGGATTTATCATCTGGAAAATGAGGATAAGAAGAAGCCAAGCACCTTGCCCTGTTGTTTTGGGACTAAATGTGATCACATCTGTGTGTGTGGCTATGAGATGATACGTATACACATGGAAGATAGGTATATGTATACATCATGTGTGTGCCTGCATACACACATGCTGGCCAAATACACGTACATATGACTGTCAGGTGAAGGATACTCCAGCGTAACGTAATGGACTATTGTACGGCCTGGTGACTAAAACCTCCAGTGCAAAACGTGAATCTGAATGTACTGTAATCAGCTTCAGGCAGGTTGACTCATCGGGGCAGCTGGATTGAGGAATGTGGATCATGACCCCACTGTCCTCTCCCTCTGCCTTCCTTTCTGCCACCCCAGCATTGACCTGTAGTTAATGCGTAAAACCAAATCTCTAGTCAGGTGCACCACAGAGCAAGGTGTGATGGGATAAGGGAATGTGCAGGGAGGGCAGAGGCACCAAGAAATCTGAATCCTAGTCCCCACACTGACCAAACGCTGGACTCACCAAATGCTCTCGGGCTAGTTTCCTTGGAGGCAACCTTGCTGTACTGTAAACCATACAGCCCATTAAATCCAGACATGGCAGTAGTTAAGAACTTTCGATTAGGGCTTTGAGCTGACTTCAGGTCTCAACTCTGCACTTACCAGCTGTTAGCTGTGGGCTGGTCATGTTTTGTCTGCATGGACCCTGAGATTTAATGCAACATTGCCTCCAGAATACCCATGTGTTTGGGGCCCACAGGCAGTCCTTATTTCCACTTAGCCCAAGCCTCTGCCTGCCAAGGAGTCAGGTGGATATCCATCAGCAGTCCTGCTGGCTCAGCACTTGGCAAGCATCGGAACCCACAGACACGACATGATCCTTGCTGGGAGTGAGTGACACCAGCCCACATGCAATTATTTTAATGCATAGCCTAGGATTTTTTTTATGGGTATGTTCTGAGGACAAAGTCTTCCCTGTCTCTTGCCCTTCAAAAAATACAGCAGGGTAAAACTCACATCTTGCTAACTCACCCTTTCTTTAAATGTGAGCACTCACGCAGCTTCCTTCCTGCCGTTCCTCTCTGTACCATCCTACAGGATAAGTGCCCACTTCTTTCCCATCCTGCCTCAGTGGCAGCACCCAGGAATGCACAGCCCCAGCCGTGTGGTCCAGTTTGGAACCTGTGCTTACAGCACCACCTGACGCTTTGTGTAACCCTTTTCCCTACTCTGTTAGGCCTGCTGATCCCGTCTCACTTGGGGAAACCTAAGGTTCCAGGGAGAGGAACGAGATACCCACGGACACATAGTCGTGAAGAGCACAGCTGGACTCAAGCCACAGTTGGTCTGTGGAGGCCCAGGGTTCCATTGCTGGTGAGAAGTCAGCAGGAGTACTGATGTGCCCCCACAGACCAGGTCTTGCTGTTGGTCCAACTGTGAGAGGGAGACTTGGTTTGGGAGAGCAGTGGATGGAATATCTCTCCCTCTCTCTTTTACTCTTGCTGGCTCTCTGTTGAGCACATTGCAGTGTCAGGCGGAATTGCTAGTGCTCATCCCCGAATGAGGAAGCAGGACGAGGTGGGGCCTGAAAACCTCTTGTTCCCATGTGATTGACCTGGGCTCAGACAGAGTGAGGCAGAAAGAAGAGCCAGGACATGGCCAAGCTCTGGGTGCCCCCATTCCTTTGCCTAGTATCTGGGTCCACTTTAGCTGCTGTCGCAAAGCATCATAGGGAGATGACATAAAGTTCCTTTTCCAAGTTCAGGAAGCTGGAAATCCCCCAGATCGAAGCATGGGTAATTTCCATGCCTAGTAAGGGTCAGCTTGCTGGTTCATTGATGGCATACTCTCACCATCCCCTTGTGTGTTCAGGGTGCTCTAGACCTTTTTGGTTTTGGTGTTTATTTTACTTAAATGGTAGGTCATGCGTCTGCCAGAGGATGTCTCCATGGCCTCCCAGGGTACACATTAGCAGGAAGCTGGAGCTGAAACTGGGGCTGGGACTCAGACCCAGGGAGCATCTTAACCTTTGTACCAAGTGACTTTCTTTAAAGGCACCAAACCCACCCAGGAGGACTCTAGCATCTTCTCCTTAGCATCTCCCAGAGGCTCCACCTCCCACCTTCCTGCTAGGACATGTGTTGGCATCCTCGCAGGAGGAGACAGAGTATTAGGGGTACAGAAGGGAAAGGGAACACATTTTGTCTGCTCTGTAATCAGATGGAGCAGGCAAAGGAACGTTCTGGAAAGCTGGCTCCTCTTGTGCTCTGTCTTCTATTTGTCCTCCATCTGCTGCATGGGTCACTTATGGCCTTGGGCAAGCCACTGCACCATACAGCCTCCCCTTGTTAAAATTGCCTGCCTTGGGGGTGGCACAATGGTAGAACAGGTGCAGTTGCTGCCTGTAGCACCAGCATCGCCTATGGGCACCAATTTGAGTCTCTACAGCTCCCCTTCTGATCTAGCTCGCTGTTAATGGACTGGGAAAATCAACAGAAGCCCTGCCACCCATATGGGAGACCCAGATGAAGTTCCTTGCTTCACCCTGGCTCTGCCCTGGCTGTTGTGGCCATCTGGGGAGTGAGGCAGTGGATGGAATCTCTCTCTCTCTTTTACTCTTGCCGTCTCTCTGTTGAGCCCATGGCAGGCCCTGGAAGAGAGCTCTCCCGGCAAGGGCTGAACAATAGCTACTCCTGGCTTCCCAGGGAGGGCTCAGGTTTGCCCTCTATTATCCTGAGGGTCAGTGTTGCTTGGCCATCTGCTGTGAGCACTGGGAATAAGACTGTTGATTTTTCTCACCATGACCAACACCCCCTGCCTCCTTCTACCTGCTTCCTGTCTCACCACTAGGGGCAGTGTGTGCCTTTCACCTGGGACAACTCAGCTGGCAGAACCATCTGTCAGTCACCTGTGCCTTATCTACAAAACCAGTGCCCATTATGGGGCCCTGCACACTGACCTCAGAGATAAGGGCGTTGGGAATCAGCTGCCAGAGTTTCAAGCCTGATTCTACACTTGATCTTAGCCAAAAGGCCGAGAAGGGAACCATGCCTGATTTTGTTGACTGGCCCACAGCCTCTGTTTTGCCTTCTGAAAAATGGGGCTGATATAATGCCCCCCCAAGGACTTGTTGCCAGTGTTAAATAAATACAAATTATTTATTACTGATAATTCTTCCATGGTCATAACTAATGGTTCACAACACTGAGTATTGCCCTATATCAATAAATTAAAATACTGACACGTGGTCTTAGCACATGTTGACTATTCTCTAAATAATCACCTATTTCCCCCCAGATTTTCTTGCCCTGTCCTCTTTCCAGACCGATCACACACTGTTCCCCCAAGACCTCAGCTCGCAGCTGGGAATAGCAACTGACTCATAAATGGCACTCCCTACCCCACTCCTGTACGCTCTCCATTATCATCGGAATGAGCTTTTGAAACCCTAGCGCCTGCCCTTTGCATGATGTACTAGCATGTCATAGCGTCCTTCTTGGGTGGAAGTCCTGTCGGGACCGCCCTCTGCCTGCCCCCTTCTCCTATAGAAACCTGTGACTCCTCTCAGATAAATGGACATCCCTTACCACCAGTTTGTCTCCAGTGTTTCTGCAGCAGAAGCACTCTGTCACCTCACCCCTTTGTGGTCTCGGCGCCTGCGAGCCAGAAGACCCCCAGGACACTGCTGCTCCAGCCCCCTGCTGGTACACCTGGAGCAGCATCAGAAGATGGCCCAAGTGTTTGGGCTCCTGATGTCTCCTGCCTTCAGCCTGACGGCCTGGTGGCCATTTGGGGAGTGAACTAGCAGATAAAAGATTCTCTCTCCATTTCTGTCTCTGGCTCACTCTTTCTCTCCCTCAACACTCTGTCTTCCAGAGAAATAAAATGAAGTCTTAAGAACAACAAGAACATGAAACTACAGGAAGCAGAAGACAGGCGTGGGAATTATTAGAAGTTAGGGCTGGTCACTAGGCAGTCCCCTTGCAGAGAAGGGACGGTGGTAAAAGCAACTGCCTTTTTTGTGTGTGTGTGTGATTTAACGAAGAGATTTATTTGAAGAAATATTATAACATACAAAAGCTACATGAAGTCTTCATTCCCATTCAAGTGGTGGTGATTTGATATAATGCATATAAAAACCTTTAAAACCCCAGAGCGCATACAGGAGACCTCACAGTGCTGGAGAAACTGCAGTGAAGTCAGCTGCTGCTCCAGAAAGAGGTGCACCTGCTGAGGGGAGGGGCAAGGGGACCAGGCCTCTCCGCTCTCAGGAAGAGGTAACAGCTGCGAGGAGCGGGGAGCAGGTGTCTCCACCTTCTGCGCATTCTTCCACCCCCAAGTTTCAGCTGCCACCAAGGAGCAGCTGGCCAAGCAGAGAGGGTGGGGGTAGGGGGAGTCCCAGCCTCAGCCTCAGCCTCAACGAGCAGTGTGGGAGCCAAGAGCTGCTCGATGAGTGCCTGGCACAGGCGAGGAAACAGGGGCCCTCCCAGCAAGTGGCTTGCCCAAGATTCAGAAACTTCCTAGAGCAGAGTCCGGAGTTGAACCCAGGCCCGTGGCCTCCGTGGCCTTTGCCCCCAGTCATTCTGTCTTGGATGTTGAATGAATGAACAGGGAACACTCAGCCCCATGCCAGGCTGTGGCTTGCTGCCTGGGCAGGGTCCCTCCCTGACTGCCTGTCTGCCTCATTGTCGCCTCCCCTCACACAGGTTATCCACTGGAACTCCCCTAAAAAGCTTCGGGTGAAGAACAAGCATGTGGAATTCTTCCGCAACCTTTACCTGACCTTCCTGGAGTACGATGGCAACCTGCTAAGGCGGGAGCTGTTTGGGTGCCCCAGCGAAGCTGACGTCAACAGCGAGAACGTAAGTGGCCCACGGGGATGTGCTCAGCTGGGAACAGCTGCTTTCTCTGCTCAGCCGTGGAGAGCCTATCGGGTACACCCCAGATCAGGCTCCAGGCAAGACAGAGATGGCCCAGAAGCCATCCCTGGCCTGCGAATCTACATCTGCTGCATGGACCGGAGGGAGCAGCGGAGGGCAGCTCACATCCAGGCTGACCGTTGCGGTGAAGGCAAGGAGGGCATGCTCAGCCCCAGCACAGGTGACGTCAGTAAGGGTTTCCAGGGTTGGGTATGTGGTGTCGTTCATGAAGATGCTGATGCTCAGGCCCCTCCTAGTCTGTATGGGAGTACCTGGGTTTGAATCCAGCTTCCCACTAGCGCACACCCTAGGAGGCATCACAGGATGGCTCAGGTACTTGCATCCTCACTGCCCACATGGGAGACCCAGAGAGAGTTCCAAGCTCCTGCTTTTGGCCTAGCCCAGCCCATCCCTGGACGTTACAAGTATTTAAGCAGTGAGCCAACAGGTGGAAGATCTCTGTCTTTGCCTTTCAAATAAATACTTTTAAAATAATGATAAGAAAAAAGAAGGGAGTTTGCAGACAGAGAAGAATGCAATACTGTTAGCAAAGCAGCAAGCCAGGGGTTTCTCACAGCCAGGATACCCCAAAATGTAGGACATCCACATGGGAGATCTGGGATATAGGCCAGATTGGCACAAGTAACTGAATCCCTTAGTGGCCAGCTCTGGAGACGGGCGTCAGGAAAGTGCTCGCAGGCAAAGCTAACAAGTGCTCTGGTTTCTCATTCTTTGCTCCGTGTGATTTGTCCTGTGATGTAGCTCAGCTGATGCTCACAAAAACCCTCTTAAGATTGAAGCCACAGAGAGGTGAAGCAAGTCGCCTGTGGTCACACAGCAAGCAAGGAGCAAAGCGGGGCCTGGTCCAAGGTCGTACAGATGCAGACATGAGGGGCTGCAGCAGTCAGTGCAAGGCGTGTGGACTCAAGCTGACCTGGACTGAACTCTGATGCCCTGGAACGACTGTGTGACCTCAAGCGAGTCACCTAGCCTCTCTGTGTTTCCGCACCCTCCCTTGTCAGATGGGGATGCAACAACATTGACAGGCCCGTGTTGGGAGAGCTTCTTACTTTGTCTGAATGTGCCTTGAGGGACAAAGGCTCAGGGTCCCCTGTCGTCATGGCCCTCACGTTCTGCCGGAAGACATTGTCGGGAGGCCTTGGCAGCAGCTAGGGAGCGATGAAGTTGTGACAGCTCCTGGGATTTGGAGAAGAGAGAGCATTTCTCTGCACAGGTGCAGTCTCCTCTGAAACCCAACAAACAAGAAAGAGCCAGCTACAGAAACACTGAGGAGGCCCTTTCCAGATAGAAGAAGCAGTTAGCACGAAGGCTCCCAGGCAGGGCAGGTTGGCTGTGAAGGACAGAAGGATGGTCAGTGTGGCCAGGAGAGGGACTGTGCAGAGGCAGGAACCTGGTCAGTAGAGGAATGGAAAAAGAGTTAACGAGTTGTGAGTAGTGATGATGGTTAGTGGTTTATAGTTATTCTGGAAGTTCTGCCAGGACCCCAAGGTACAGGAGGCACCTGTTCAAGGCCTGCATGTGCGCACTGTCCCTGGCCGTGTTGTAAGATGACTCTGGCCTCTCTCTCTAGTCCACCCCCAGTCACAGCGGAGTCTCTGCCAGCCCGAGCCCTTGTCGGCCACACGGCCAGTACTTGGCAGTGTCTGCTGCTCCTCACAGCTGACAATGGAGGGAGGAAGCCTGCAAAGCACTTGAACTCCGTCAGACTCTGGGAGGCACTTAGAGGCTCAAGAAGTACCATCCTTCTGGGCTTTTCCTTCAGTTCTCTTGGCTCTTGTCAGTGCTCGGCAGCAACAGCAGGTTGCTGTTGCAATATTTGAGTGTCCATTAGGCACTTCGTTCCAGTCACCAAGTGGAAGCTGTTCTCTTGCCTTCTCCTCTCTGGTGGAAGGGCTTGCAGGTGCAGCTGCCACTGGAGCACCCCCAGCAATGAGTTCCTGCCAGCTGCTGCATGGCATTCTGGCATTCAAGGACTCCCTCTATCAGGGAGCACTCCCCTGGGTTCACTGTAGGGCGGCGGGCAGAGACATCATCCTCCATGGTCTGTCTCAGAATCCCCAACTCACAGGTTTGCTCAGTGAGCATGGGTAAGCACCTGACACCGTGCAGCACGCTGGACTTGAAATCAGAAGGCAGCTCAGACCCTGCACAATAAGTTGCAACTCTGTCGCTCTTAGAGGAGTTGGGAGAGGAATCCTTGCAGACCCAAGGCAGGCCCTCAAATGAGAAAGCTTGTTCCTAAACCCATTATCCCAGTCTTCATCCCCTGGGCCTGAAAACATGAGACGCTCTTCCCTGCTTTCTGTTCTTCTGGGAATGAGCTGTTCCCATGCCCAGAACACCCTGTGTCTAGAGGTTTTAAGGACTCAGATGTGGCTGCCAGTCACTTTGATTCTCCTTCATCACCATCTAAGGACATCCTTCAGGGGCTGTTGGGATGGTTCAATTGGCTCATCCTCCACCTACAAGTGCTGGAATTGCACATGGACACCAGTTCATGTCCTGGGTACTACACTTCCCATCCAACTCCCTGCTTATAGCCTGGGAAGGCGGTAGAGGATGACCCAAAGCCTTGGGACCCTGCACCCATAAGGGAGACCTGGAAAGGGCTCCTAGCTCCTGGTTTTAGATTGGCTCCATTCCAACCGTTGTGGAACTTGGGGAGTAAACCAGACAATGTAATATGTCTGTAAAACTGCCTTTTCAATAAAAATAAGACTTCTTTAAAGACCGCTTCAGGTCACTGTCTGCGGCATTTCCTATTTCCATCGGTGCGTGCACCCCTACCCATGTGCAGTCAGATGCTTCCTGTACTCACACGTGAGTCCTTACCCCTAGAAGTTTGGACCGAATTCGTTGAACCGTGATGAGCCAACCAAAATATCTTAATTATTTTTTTGTTTGACAAGCCACCATTTTTTTTTTTTTGCATGAGTGGTAGAGAGTGAAAGTGCAAGAAAGGGCTAGAGAAACAAGGAAAACATTGCCAGTTCCTGGTTAATCCTCTGGATGGTTAGAATGACCCAGAGCTGAGGCCAGAAGTCAGGGACTCTGCCAGGGTGTCCCCTATGGGTGGCAGGATCCCAGTCACTTCCCAAGGTGTGCATCAGCAAAAGGCTAGAGTCAAGAGCCAGAGTGAGCGAGCCAGATATTAAGCCCAGGGACTCTTGCCTTGGGACATGGGTATCCTAACTAGCATCTAACTGCTGAGTCAGATGCCGGCTCCTACCAAAGGTGCTTAATCACAGTCAGACTGACATTTGCAAACAATCAGTATAGACAGTAGACCGAAGGGGCTAAGAAGGAAGGCAGGGAGAACACTTAGAGGCAGTTGCCCAGTCTCAGGCAAACACATGACCTCGAGCAATGCCTTGAGAATCAAAAAGGGTGGATGGACTGTTAGGTGGCTGCTGAGAGCAGGGGAACAGGTGCAGCTGGCACTCATAGATCAAGACAACAGGCTGCAGTGCCCTGCTCCAGCCATGTGCTGCTGCTGGCTCAGTCAGCCAGCTGTGGCAGGGACTGGGGCAAGGAGTCCTTGTGGAGCACAGGCCTCCCAGAAGCCCCTCTCTGCAGAGAGCTCCACCACCTGGTCCTGTGCTGCTCACACAGTATTGTCCTCCAACACAACCAGAGGGAAGATGAAAATCTGGGATCCTGGCCAAAGCTCGGGGCTCCCAGCACCGCAGGAAGAGGTCAGTCGAGCTGTAATGAGTGTGCAGTTGGTGAGTCAGGAAACAGGCAAACCAGGGACCTCTTCCCGCTGGGATGTGTGCTCAGAAGCCGTGGCTCAGCCTCCAGACTCACTCTCCAGTCAGCAGATGTGTATTCAGACAGTGGCCAGTGGGAGGGACCCAGTGGGAGCCACTGCGGATTAAAGCCTGGCCAGCTAGCACATGCTTGTCTCATGAGAGGTGCAAGCAGGCAGTAGCTGTGCAGTGTCCTTTAGTGCCAGGATGGCCAAGGTTTTGAAAGCACACAAGAAGATTGTATCCCATAACTGGGAGAAAGAGAGAAGACTTCCTGGAGGAAGGGCTATTTGAAGGATGAGTAAGAGGAATGTGGGGGTTGGGAAGGTGGATTCTGTGCAAGGCGGGGAGCAGCAACAAACGATGGAGACCCGAGGTGGACACAGCCTGGCAGCTTCAGGGACTGTGGAGTTCACATGCAAACACAGGCAACGTGAGAAGTAGGGGTCGGGAACTTTCATGGTACTTTGCCAGCATTTCCCCACAAAGGAGTGAGGGTGATGAGGAATTAAGAAAATCATCTCTTTTTCCATTACTATAGAGAAATCCCCAAAGCTGGATAACATTGTACAGGAGATTTTGTGTTGCTCACCATCGTGGAGGTTTGACTGGCCCCAGTGTGGCATTGGTGAGGGCCTCATGGCAGATCTGGGTGAAGGCACCCTTGTCAGGGGAATGTGTGCAGCATGGAGGGTCCACGTCTCAAGGCAGGGAGCAGAGAGCAATTTGGGATCAGACTGATGCTGTTATAATAACTCAAGCTCATTAAAACCAATGCAGGCACCCACAAGACCACCTTAATTCCTTGAGAACAGTGTCCTTAATGGTAAATAGCTCCCAACAGGCCCCATCTCTTAAAGGCCCACCACCTTGCAACATCACTGTGCCATTGGGTACCGAGCTTGCAGCACAAGAGCCTGGGGAGGAGGGGTAACACAGTACATGCTATCCACAGCAGTCAGGATGTGCCCCTCCCCCCAGTCATGTCCTCACTCATCAATGCCACGTGACCTCCTGAGAAGTCACGTGATGTTCTGAGCCCAAGTTTTGCCATCTGCTAAATGGGGATAGTGGCCCTTTTGACATGGTGTTTTTCATGCACAATTTATGTGAAATTGCCAAAGGAGAAAGAGTTGGTACCAGAAATATCGCAATGCCTTAGCAGACTTTTTT